AATTGCCTGATACTGGTTAATTTTTTACTTTTACTTATATGATCAGTCAGGAAAATGTCAGAGGGAAGCTAAACTGACTACAAGTACACTACATTGCAGAAAATAAATGGTCAATATAATTTAAAAGCATTCTAATGAGAAGAGTGTATATGTTAACAGTGCAACTAGATTAAAATATCAAGGATAGAATCCTTCCTTGAACATACGAATCAGTCAATATGTCATTAACTACAAACTGTTCAAGTGTGAAGGTGTTCAACAGGGTAAACTGGACAATGTTAAGAAGGAACTTCATCTTTGCATATATCTTTAAAAACAGCAAACATGTGGGTTAGCCCTAAGTTAACATTCAACCAAGGAGAAAAAATGATAGTAAAATGTTTACAAAATATTTTCCCATTTTCTAGACTACTTGCATTCATTATCAGTAAAGTCATTCCTAAAGAAAGTGCTTGAGTTATTGGGTTTCTTTTATGTCACATAAAAAAATTAATGAAAAAGTATAACCAGTGACATAAACTGGAAAACATTTTAAGAAGCAAATAAGCATAGAAATCAATAGTAAAGATGTAATGTGTCAAGCTGTATATGAATAATACAACTTAATGTAGCAAAAATATATATCAGTGAGCAGTAGTACAATTTTACTGTATCAAAGAATGTGTCAATAAGATAATTTTAGTAGATAATAAATGTGTCAAAGGTAAAGGTCTCCTCTATCAAAAAGTGTCTAACAGTAGTACATGTATTACAGCAAAGAATATTTTATTAGTACATCTTGTGTCAATAAGACAACTACAAAATATGTGAATAATAAAGCTGCTTTTCTTTAGCTTTGTGTCAGTGGTACATGTATTATAGTAATGAATCTTTTAACAATACAAATTTAGTGAAAACTACAGTATTATTACTCTATCAAATAATATAGTTAATCTTTACTGTTTCATAAAACGTCTTTCTGGTTTATGGCTTTAGTATAGCAAAGAATATTGGTCGTCTGATGTATGTTTTATTATTGCAACAACTACTAAGTTTTTTATTGTTTCAAAATTTGTTGCATTTAAAGCTTCTGATAACACAACAGTTTACTGTAGTTCTACTTTCTGATCCACATTTCTTAGTTAGCACCATGATAAGTAACTAATATAGATAGTGAAAAAAAAAGATGAAATATTTACTACCACATAATAATTTAGATTTTATTTACTGCTTATTTTAAGAAATACATATATGCAGAGGTAATCACTATTTTTTTAATAATAATAATACATCAATCAAAACATAATTTAAATGATATTAAGATAAC